TTTAAACGTTTGATTTTGCCTTACTGAGTTTTCAGTAGAGTAGGAGTGATCTACGCTATCGGATCAGGGACCTATCAGGTCCAACCCCGTGTACTTGATGACACAGGTACTTGTGAGAGGTGAGATAAGGAATCAACAGTTTTGGAAAGGAAACGGAACGCCATTAGTAATTTTACATAGTTCCAAGAAATTATTAAACCCTGAAATTGCTCACCCTTGAGAAATTTTGATATTTCAGCACCAGTATTTGCAGACAACTAAGGGAAACAAGGTAACTATCAAAATGATTTATGAAACAGTAACTTTTCAAAAGGTTTCTGACCCTTTACTTCAAAAGTTTTACTTGGAACAAACAATTTTCCAAGTTTTTTTCCAATCTCCAAATTCTAATTTCACATACTATTGGGTGTTGTCTTAAAATTGAATGTTATCAGTGTTAAAATATGTATTAACATGTTAACATGAATAAGTATGTTGTCCTAGTAGGATACTTAATTCATGTGTCTTATCTTTTTAGAGTCCTCTTTGATAAGATTCTTGGACAGAAAATATCTTTGTAATATTCTGCAGTCATAACTTTTTCTGTCTGTTATTCAGGAAGATCATAAAAAATAACGAAATATGTATTACCTTGCCTTGGGGTGAAAGGGATATGACCCACCAACATATCTTCCTAAAATTTTTATCTGGCACAAATAAATGTTAAATTGGCCCAAAAGCAGAAAAAAAATAATTAAAAAAAGGAGAAATTTAAAAAGGAAAACATTAGATTATAGTCAGTATTACTTGTAAAACCTTTGCCATTTTATATATTTTTCTTCCAGATTATGTGGGTGGAAAATAATTCTGTTTTCTAATCAATCTGGTTGAGTAGTTTTACTCATGAAAATTCTGCACAAAACCCGTGAGGGCTGAGTAGTGAACTGAATTTTGAGATTAGGAGAGTTGTCTGGTTTTTGCATGTGCATTGCAGCAGATACACTCCTTAACAGTTTCAATCGTGGGATTTCATGCCACCTGAAGAAGGCTCTTTACATGCATGGTATGGAAAGTGAGTGAATACTAATGAGGGGGAAATAAGATGCATGCACTGGGACACTGAAAGAAACACATACTGACATTTCCATTTGCACACAATGTTCTTCAAGAAACCTTTTTAAAAAAAAGAATTCCCATTTGAGGGGATAAAATTTATCAGTCTGTGTAAAGTGTTACCATTATTTTCTTTTTAAGCTGTCACTGACTGCAGGTAAATATGCACAAGTAAAGTCCTGACTATTAGTACATACTTGTATGTATATATACACATATACAAACAACTGCATAGATTGCTAAAACAGATCTAGTTCTATGCTTTGCATCACTTGTTTCATTTCAAGATCCAAGCATAATCAATTCCAAACTATAACTGGTTGGGACTTTTACAATCATTCATTTTTTAAATAAAAATCAATTAGAAACAAAGTGTGTTGTATGAATACACCAGATTTGGTGAGACTGTCAACAAAAGAGTTCTTCAGCTGTCCATTGGGTTTTCTGCTTAATATGATACTCTCTGGGAGTGGAATTTTTGTGAGCAAAAAGGTCTTTGTAGACAGAAAAGGAAATTTCCATTTCAATCTGGGCTTGAGCAATGTATCTATATGTGACATAACACATAAAAACCTTCTTTCTTAGGGAAACAGGACTTATGAGACTCCTCTCTCTTTCTTCTTTGCCTATCCTCATCTAACAACTTTTGAGCCCTTGGCCTGAGAAGTAGAACTATCAGAGATATTAAGTTCTGCTGAGAGAGCGTTTACTAATTGCCCCAATGGCAGAAGTCAGCTCCGTGTGTGCTAGACACGTGAGAAGGTACATTCATCTCCAAAACAAAGCTTCCTAGGAAACCAGGACTCACCTCTCCCAGGGCTCTTGGAGATACTAGCTGTTTGTAAACACACTAGTGTTTAGCATTTAGCTTGAATGATAGGAATCTACAGGATAAACTATTTTGCCCAGGGAGGTTTCTTTGTTGCTTTGGGGTTTTCTTTAAGAAATACACGCACATTACCACACAAATCTGCACAGAAGCATGTTCCAAGGAACCAAACCCTGTCATTAGGCAAAGTCAGCCAAAGGAAGCCAGGAGGCCAGTAGGGAAGTGTCTCTTCTTGCCTGTGGAGAACAAATATGCTGAGGCCTGGGAACCCTCCAAACAGCTGCACCTCTCTGTGAGTGTCATCCACAGAAATGGATCCTCCATGTCCACAGAAATCTGACCTCTAGAACACAAACTGGCCTGGTGGCATCTGGCCTAAACCTTAACCACCATAGCTTTAAATTCTAAACATTTGGCTGATATGAACTCATAGCAATTAAATGATTTATGTGTGTCCAGCTTGGCCCTCTTTTGAAGATCCAGGGTGTCGGAACCTGTGTGAACCAACCACAAGGCTGCTAGACATGAAAGCATCATAATCGCTCTTCCCTGGCTGTGGACTATCAGCCAAAGGCAGCAAGCAGAAGAGTAAGGGATGAAACTGCTATTTCACTGCACAGAAAATGCCATATGAAGAAGTGCAGTCATCCTACATTCAAAAAATTTAACTGGCAATGAGAAAAATCGTGCTCTGCTGTACCTCACACAGGGCAACCACGTGGTGACTCACAAAGTCCATCGCACAGGAGATTGAAATCATCCCACGCACCATGCATTCCTCCGATACAGACTAAATAAAACATTTTCACAATAATTAATACTGTGGATCCCTGCCAGAGTAAAAAACAACAGAAAGAAAAAAGTTCAATTTGCTTGAAATCTCCTACTCAGTACTTTGTAGATTCCTCTTTTAAAATAATTTCAGTTAAGGGTAAGCCTACTTGGATTTGAATGTTTGTTTGATAACTGTTTTCAAAATGTTATTGGAATATTTTATATGAGACACTGATGGGTAAGAAATGTGGGTCCATCTCTAATCAACCAGCTTGTAGGGTCATTTTATTTCACCTCACTTTCTCTATTCCTCAGGTCCAGAAGATTTTTAAGTAATCAAGGACAGTAGTCTGCATTCAGTGGGAAGGTGTGAGAGGGACTTCTTTCCCTTCTGCCCCATAGCTGTCTTTGGTACCCTTAAGAGAATGAGTTTTGTTTGTCTGAAAGAAGAAGGACTTGATCCTGGTTTTCCAACTCCTTGGTATCTTTCCTGACCAGCAAGCTGGTCAGGGGGTTAATGGCTACCACCACCTGTTTGTTAAACTGTAGCTTATGTTTAAGTCTTTGACTGTAACATTGATTGAAGCCAGGTGTTTTAAGTGCTGACATCCACTGGTGAGTGCCTATGGTTTCATGAACAATGACAAGCCAAATGGGCTTTGATAGCTCATGTCTTTCATTTCTTACAACCGTTAGACAGAGTGAGAAAAGAAATCTTTTTTCATTGAAGTTTAAATATGTCAGCTCATATTTGCCAGAGATTACCAGGTAGAGCATAACTTCTCGAGTGAAGTTGTGGTAACTTGCTTGGCTCTCCCACCTTTAGTTTCCTTTGGGTAGTAAGCATGAGGTCCCATACTACTTGCTAATGTCCACCTCAAATTTCTCACCATTTTAAGTTCTTAACTTCAGGATAAAGGCTCTGAAATATATCTAGAAGTTAGGTGCTGTTGTGAATATATTCTTTGGTTTAAGAATTTACTCTCTTGTTTATCTATCATAATCCAGGAAAATGGCCTGGAAAAAGCATATAACTAGCTAATTTAATGATTCTTCTTCACAGTCTTGAGAAATTGATTGCTGTCACAGCCTATGTAATCCTGTTTTCTGGCAGCTAAGGACTTAAAATATTTAATGTCTGCTAAGTACTTCTACATATGCAGAAGACAGTGTGAAGAGAAGGGTGAGTTTGTTAGATTCAAAATAAGACAAATATTATTTCTTATTGCTAAGCAAGGCAATAAACTTGTTTTCTCACAGATTTCTAACATAGAAATGATATTGTTTTTGATACAGTACTTAGTATCCCCAGGGTGTTTCTTAATAATGCAGATTATATTAACTAAATTCAAGTAATGATTAACTAAATATTTGTCAGCTAGGGAAACAGAATGTCCTAAAGATGAGAAAATTAACATAACTTTAGTCTGAGGGAAAAATAAAAAAATCTCTAAATGTCAGGTAGCCTTATGCAAAGCTCTGCCACATCCTTCCTTTGCTCATGAATCTGTCACCACAGAAGACACAGTCTCTGATAATACCTGTACAGGTAGGTCACTGGAGAGAAACATTCAGAATTTCTGTGGAATGGCAGAGCAAAGCTGATATCTGAAGTACTATCTTTTAACTTTTAAAAAGCCAGTGCAGGTCCGGTGTTGCTTATTCTGGGCATTATTTGAAAGATGTGTCATGTAGAAGATGACTTCCTGAATTCTGCACTAGACGTAGTTCTCTAATACGCCTTCAACTTAGTTCTGAGAGAATTGTTGTCCTAGTAGTCTGTGATCACCAGGGTACAGATGGCAGAAATTGTATGATCTGCTTATTAAAAAAATTGGTTTAGCCTTTGGGATGTGTGAAAAACAGGAAAAAACCCTAGCAGATAAGGCCATAGCTGTATTTTCCTTTCCAAAGAGAAGGGGTACAGCACAACCTCAAAGACCTGCTCTCATGCTTCTCTCTAAAGAGACCAACCAGTTTTCCTATCTTTGTTTTTCCAGACTGAGTAACAACCAGATAAGTTTTACGTATACTCTTTCCTCTTTCTAACACTCTCATGTCTAGAGAAGATGGCTACAACAGTGGTTTTCATCACATTGTTTGGTTTTGGTGGTTTTTTTTGGTTTGTTTTTTTTTTTAAGTGAAACTTAAACCTTTTTTTCCCGTTAAGCTGCAGATCATAGCATATCAAATTTCTCTTTCTTGAGAATTGCCTTGTTACTTTTGCATTTCCTTAGAAAGTCAGTGGACTTACAGACCACAGATTGAAAACCAATGTTTTAGAAATACCGTCTTAGCTGCTTACAAGGTTGTTGAATGACCCACAGGAAGAGGTCTCACTCTTTCTTCAGTCCTTTTCTCAAGTTGCTGATGACCAGTGTCCTTTTTCTTGGAGACGCTCACGAAGCTACCCCTTGTTACTCCTTTCTACACTCCACCTGGAAGAAAAAAATCCCTGTGAATTGGATGTGAAGCTCTGTTTTGTCTGGACATCTATTTTCTTACGTCTTAAACTAAGTTTGTTAGATATGTGTAAGCAGGAGGGGATGTGGGAATATGTTGCAATGACTGAAGAGTATTTTCTACTTTGTGTTTAGCTTGGCCAAACTCCTGCTGAAAGCTGCCAGTCTCATGAGTCCTTTCTTACAATCACTCATCCCTAAATATTCCTGCTGCTGTTATAAGATAATTCCAGAGTTTCAGCTGCAGACCTGGCATGTCGATTGCTTGGCTTGTACTAATTGTAACTGGCCAGAGTTTCCTCTCTGAGAAAGAGTGTAACAGAGGGTGGCATTTGGTCTGGCAAAATACACAGAGTTTTAAGTCTGAAATGTCTAGTCTTTTTAATAGGAGTAATAGATACCTGTATATTTTAGTTAGCTGGTCAGCCAGCCAGAGGGTGGATATAGCTCAGAAAGTAGTCTAAGACAAAACTCATGTCTAATATTTCCTGTTTTTTTGGCATTCCTTACTAGAAATGATCTCCACTATAACGGAAGGTGAGAATCATCCATGAGCAGGAATGCTGCTAAACTCAAGCTGCACTGAAGGCATGTGTTTGTCCATGTTAAAGATTAAATTAGGCTTTTACAACAAAGTTGGCATCTGCTTATTAAAGCACAGGGTATTGGCTACTACATTTCATATTAGAAAGACAAGTTGAATATTCATAAAATAAAATCCCTTATTTTGGTGTTAAGTTATAAGTATAGGAGGTTATCTTCTGACTAACTTCTCTGAACATTATGTACATGAAGATAGGTTAATAAGCAATAGGCTTTCTCTCCCACCATAGGCAGGTTTTAATTCTTTTGATTCTGTCCTATGCTCACAATAAATTCAATTGTTTAACAATCTTTCCTGCACAGTTTGTTTCTATTTTAGCTTTTAGTTCATCTCTAGCTACAACAGAAATGTACTGTTTATATGATGGCTTTACAGTTCTAACATCGTATTTCCTCTGGAGACTGAGAGATCAAATGCCCTAAGATTTCTCATGATACTTTAAGCTCTTGTATTACAAATACACTTGGATGCAAAAATACAATTAGTAAAGGAAAAAGTATTGCTGTACTCAAGTGATGAAAGGATGCCCCAAATATACCCATAGCAATTATTTATCACTCAGACCTCTATTGTGCAAAAGCAGACATCTCTGAATTTCCAAATAAGACCAAGAATGGGACACTCAGTGCTGTATAAAATGTCATGGTAAGTAGGAGTCCTGGGAGCTTTCAGCATAGAGAAGGTGCAGACTTCACAGTTCAGACACAAGTCTCTATGTTTTAAAACTTTTAAAGTCATTATCTCACATTGCTTATTACATGATGCAGTGCTGTCTGATCTGGATGCTTATAGGGCACAATGCTGTCCTGGATAGAAATAACAGTATTTATCCCAGAAGCAGTAGAGTTGATAATTTGGTCTACTCCTCAGACATCTGAAGTTTCCCTGTCTGAACTATTATTTTTGCTGAACTATTCAGCCAACACATTTTGGCTGAAAAATGTAGGTGTATGCCATGAAGCTCATGCCAAGTGGCTGAGACATCTAGATCTATACTTCCTACAGCACAAAGATGATTTGTGATTGTTTATATAGTTCTGACTTGTCCTGAGCAAGATAGACATGGATCTTGAGGAGAAATCATCTTTGAAGCAGGAAACAGTGAGTTCAAGGCATCACAGCATATATGCGTGTGTCATTAATTTACAGCATGCATAATGAATCTAGGACTTGTTGGAATGATTATTAAGTAAAAGTTATGAGCATAGCACATGAAAAGTAGACCCAATGCATCTTATATGTGGAAGTCACAGCCTATGAATTGTAGAGATTGTTTTAGGATATTCATTTGACTTGGATCTTTGGCTGCTGGATGAAATAGAATAATAATTAGAGATTCCAGGCTTTTTCTAGTCCCAACTTACTCACCCGTGCTGCCTTTGTGTCAACAAATAGCTGATTTGGAGATAACTCTATTGTCTGTGCCTGGCACTGCCTACACCTTACAGAGAAAACTGTGTCTTAGGACTAACTTCTTCAAAGAGAGAAAGTGCAATCTTACCTTTTTAGGTAGTGTGATGCTTTGCACAGCTGGCTGAATTTCCTGGCTCTGTTAGGGGATGAAGAGAATCTAATAGTTCATTTTGTTCCAGCTCCTAGGAACATACTCTTTTTATCTATCTTATGGCTAGCTGGTTACAGGAAGAAGGGTTAATAGTCTGTTTCCCACACACATCTTGGGATTTTTAACTCTACAAACTACTCATGGAGCTTTCCCCTCTCTCCTACACATTCTCATCCTTTCCCTGCTCACACACTCCAATTTTAAACCTGTCAATCTATGAACCTGAACACTTTCAGCTTATGAGCCCTGTTCAATTCCTGGGAAAATGTACAACCAAATAGCTGTCTCAATTCACTTATTCTGTATAGCACAGCCATTAACAACGAGGCTATAAGTGCTAGATGACAATCCTATAAATCACTCCCAGTCCTCTGAGTTGGCATTTTTACTTGTCCTTCTTAGCCTTACTTGTCTCTGCTTGGTTAAATAACTTTGGTGGGTTGGAACCAGCTGGCAGCCAAGCACTGAGCCAGTAGTTTTCTCTTGTGTTTAGATAGGGGAGAGGATTGGAAGGACAAGCTACAGAGCGTGTGGATTGAGATAAGGACAGGAAAATCACCAATTACTGTCATGGGCAAGAGAGACTCAGCTTAGGGAAAAGAACCTAATGTATTGCCAATTAATATAAATATTTAGTTAATGATTTGGGCATGGGAAACAAACAATAAAAGACACAAACTTAGAACACTTAGGCAAAACACATTACTCCTCCTTTCCCAGGCTCTGCTTCCCTTCATGCATCACTCCTCCCTGCACTGTTATCACCACAGGGTGCATTCAGTAGTGCTTTCATTCAGACAAAAAGTGATGCAGGGTGAAGGTTCTAGTCTGGACGTGGTGACTTCCCTTGGCCACTCTATCCTTCTAGCTCATTTCCTATGGTCTGCTGTGGGACCCTTGTGGTCTGCCTTCTTTCAGGAACATCTAGTCTGCCCTGGAGCATCTCCTTCTCCTGCTGCCTGTTATGTCACTCTGATTTCCTCCCCTTCTCCCTATTTACTCCTTCTCTTCATCTTCCCTCCTCCTCTCTTTTTGGTATCTTGCCCTTTCTTAAATGCATTTTCCCTCAGGCATCACAAGCCTGACTGATGGTCTCTGTTGTGTCCTGTTGTGCATCTGTTGGAGCTGCCTGTGTCCAGCATGGGGCATCCCCAAGTCTCTTCTCACAGAAGCAACCCTGCAGGCCTCCTTCTATCAAAACCTTGATACTGGCCCCCAGTACACAAGCCACAGATGTCTTCTAGACATCCAGATAGCTATAGAAGCATTCAGGATTTTTCCTGTGAAAATATGGAAGGAGTATTCTGACAGAGAGGGTTTTAATCATCGCGTGAGGAATGTGTACCAGTTTAACACTTTCATGCCCAGGGATCAAATATCTTCAGCATATTGTGCCTCTTAGGACAGTCTGGTCATCAGCCTCTCCTGTGGAAGTGCAGGCAGTCCTTCTGCTGGTTTCCACAGCCCTTCCATGAAGGTTTCATGCTATGAGATGTCTAAGAACCCACCATGGTCTCTGCAGTTCTCAAAGTATCCTGTAGTATGTATTTGTTAAATTGTACAGAGGATAATAAAATAGAAATACATGTGAAATAAAGATACATACAGACTTTCATTAAAAGATAGCATTGAATATGAAATCTGAAAAACAATGTACTGCAGTGATCCAGGGTATAATCACAAACTGAGATATTGAGAATAGACATGAGATAAAGTTATTGTACCATTTGTACTACTTTTTATATTTAATGGTTAGACAAACTTATTTTACAAATCAAAACAAATCAAACTCAGTAACAACAAAACCTCGATTCAAAGATATGATAAATTTCTGACATTTGGAGTAAACATTACAAAATTCAAACACAGACTTGATGTCTCTATTTAAAGAACTGTTCCTCCAAACCCATTTGTTTTTAATCATCCCACCCTGAAATTTACAATTAATAGCAGAGATGATTTTTTTTTTAATACTAGATTTTATAGTCAATATTACTTTTATTCTCTGGAGCCTTGTGTACAGATTTGTTAAGTACATTGTGTAATAAATAACTTGCCAATTTTCTGTCAAGGATAGATTGATTTGTTAACGATAAGCTATTTTTTAAAATATAATAAATTGCTGCTGTTGTGACAAACTGTAAAAAATCTGTGTTTTGTTTATCTGAGAATGTAGCTTTAACAACCTTTTTGATTTATATGCTTACTGAAATCCAGTCTACACTTTAATGGCAATTTTTACATTATTGTATTTCTAGTACCAAACATTTATTTTCTTCCTAAAAGAAATTCTAATCCCACCTTTCCCATATAACTAGTAGGATAACTAGCAGAAACACAAGTTACATTTGGAATGTTTTAAGAGACAAGGAGTCTCTGCATCAGCCTATGAAAATCACCACTGGTCAGAAGATGGCTGAAGGAGCATTATGGTCTCTTAGTAAAAGTCTGCAGTTAAACAAAGTCTTATCACAGTTTCTAGTGAGGCTTTCAGTTCTATAGTGAATTGGGGTGAATCCACATGTATTTATTTGATTGTTCATGTCTCTGATTGAATGAAAGAGCACCCCTAGGGACTACTGTTGCAACCTTCACCAACTTTATAAAATGTGTCTGTCAACCCAGACTCTGGGAACCCAGAGTCTGGATTCAGTTCAATCTCAGATACAAGTTAATGTATTATGAAAGTAATATTTTTTGTATGTTTTTGTAAAATTTAGGATTAAATCACAAACGAAGACAGAATTTTTTAAAACTTTTTTATTGGTTACCATCAGCTATAATAATTTTGTGAAGATCAGTGGAAAA